TTTTTTGTGTGTGTGTGTGTACGGACGTGTGCGTTTGTACAAAATGTCAGAATGCGCAATCATTTTCTGCAGTTGGAAATAGCTTCGAGCTTTCAAACGGCCGGGTGCGAAATGTGCGCAAGAACGGTAATGCCACCTGAAAAGACGGATCATGCTGAGATTCTCGTTACGACTTGCTGTTATGTTATTTGTTTCTGGAATGCGTGCACTTTTTTTTACTTCTGGCTGTTGAATTTTCCACTTGCTTGCATCAATGTACAACAATATCAGTGACCCAAGATTTTAATAATATACCATAAGTTTATTTTTTCCCCTCTCTTTACATTAAGGGGATGTTGCTTATCGGTGGTGGACAAACAAAGAGACCCAGTAGTTCTGCCTCGATACATACAGAAAACTATGCAGCAACTATACAATAACTATACAACAACGATCCAACAGGTCGATGCTTTGGACAACGGCCGTGCTTCAGAGCAGAGACAGAGAGGTCAGAGCGATTGACCCACGGGTATTTTGAGATCGAACTATTCTCTTTGAGGCTCCTGAGAATGCCGGGACATTTTAATAAGGCGACAAAACAATGGTCATGGTGACCAGTTTTTTTCCATTTGAAAACGGGGTTCCCAAAAATCCCTTCAGAAGTCAAAATATACGGATGAAATATTGTCCTGAGATCATTTACATTTAAAGGAAAATCATCAGAAGTCACTGCAAAAAAACAAGGAAAATGCCGCACTTCCAATCGTGTGTCACTGCAAATTTTACTAAAGGTGTTGTTTATGAAACTAGACACTGACTATGCACAACGCCTGGGACAATTAGGATCTATATCTTGATGCACATTGATACATAGTGTGTTGCGAAACCACAAATCACTTAACAAATGAACTGACAAACGCGCATCCCTCTGCAGAATTGTATTCTCTGTCAACCTATGGACCCTCAGGACTCAAGGCGAATGTTATCCAAAACACATTTGTATGAGCCGCCAAACAAGATGGGTTACAACCTTCTGGGTCTCAAATACGTTGTTATTTTTTTTGTAAATGATAACTATTTGCGGTTTCACGTCGTTTCGTTATTGGACTTATGCAGTAATTAAAACATAGCCTCATTTAGTATTGCATCATTTGGTTGTACCGTGCACATCAATGGAGCCCAACAAATATGGGCATTTGCATGAAAAGCTTGATTTTGTTTGCATAATTTCACAAGTCTTTAAATGTCTTGATGGGGTTGTGCGAGCCCGTGCGTTTGGTTTAAGTGAGCTCAAATGGAAGGTTTGGGAAACGGTTGCGTAATGTCAGGTAAGGCCCACTGAGCTGTTTAGCCCTTTTCAGAAGCGACCTGACCGCAAATGATAGCTCAACGAAGTGGTTTATCACGTGCAAATTTAGAGTAGGCAAATACTGTAAACGCATGTTTATTAATGCGAGAGGGCGGGGACATGAGGACATGGAGAAAAATCCACGCGACCACGGGGAGAGACATGCACACTCCAAATCTACAGCAGTGTCAGGGTCGGGATCGAACCCACGACCTCCTTCATATCACGCGAGGAAGCGAGCATTCCTCTACCGCGGCGCCCCTGAACCGGTCCTGGGTGCCTCCTCAACTTTGACCAACCCTCACTAAGCCCACATGGTGAAGTATGGTCAAACAACGCCAATGACCGACCAAGGGCTACAAACCGTGAATTCTTACATCACTGGTGTTGGTCGTGCTAACATCAGAAGCGTATATCAACAGCAAGCCATGTGCTATATTAAGCAACACATTATTGCCTTGGTGCTGATAAAACAAAATGCAGTAAATCTGCTGACGTAAAAATACAGTGTGCCACTTGCTTCTCAAAGTCGTAAAAATTCGATCGGTGGCAGGTCAATAAACAAAACTAGCTGTGAAGCACTTAACCAGCTGAGCTACTACAAGAGGCCGTGTGCTGTGTATGCTGCGTGACAGCCAGATGCCACTGTGGATATTAGCTTGACCCCGACGCAGAGATGGAAAATTGTAGGTTCAATCCCCAGTCGGAAGCACGATTCAGCCTACCATCATCATCATCACGTAATAATTGCCACGGACAATGCTTAGAAATGTATTATCCCCAATGGCACAATAACTCTGCCTCTTTTTGCAGTGTGATGGTATAATGAGGGGGGGGGGGTGAGTCTCGTGTTAGCCGTGGCCAGGAATTTAACTCGGAATGCCAGGTTTATAGCAGTGCCACCACTTCCCCCGAGGCAATAGTGCTTTTTTATGAATCTAAATAATTGATCTGTCTGCCTGAGGGCTGGCCAGGCCAACATAAATAACACTTTGCCATTTTACTTCTCAGTGGTCATTTAGGATTTATGAAGCTGCAACCCAACACAGAAAGTGGCTTTTATCTTTCAGATATACCCCGTTGCATTGAAGCTTTATATACAATTATATATATACTTTCAAGTTATGATACAGTGCGTCGCTGATAAGATGACTTAATTAAATTTAGGTATCTATTAAATTTATCATCACGCTGCTCTACTTGATCTCTTACCTGGTTAAAAAGATGACCGAGCTTACTGATTTATTTTATTAGAATCATCAGCCGTGATCTATTCACTGCTGGATGAATGCCTCCCCAAGCTGTGTGGGTCATGAGAATGACTTGGCCATACTTGACCATGCTGATCAGTGCGGGTGAAGACGTGGGAACATAGACATACAGTACAACGATGGCCTATGTTGCACAACACTCTGCTGACAATGTCAATGCAGCTATAACCACGCTCAAGCCTATAACACCCGAATTATTTGTGATTGGTTTCCCATCCAAGGGGCCGTCCATAAATGACATCACGCACCTAGGGGGGGATGGTCAGACATTTGTTACGATGTGTGACGAGGGGGGGGGGGTGAGAAATGTGACGCCACATCAAAATGCGCGACTTTAAATGCATATAGACAATACGTTCTACTTAATTAAATAGACTTTTTAATACATGTTTTCTCCTACAACATCAAAGTGCAGCGGCACATTAAATACGCACTACAATGACAATAGTTTAAAGCGATTTGAAGCTGGTTTTATTTTTTTTGGGGGGGGGGGGGGCAGAGCTTTGTGACGTCATATTTGAGGGGGGGTCTGACTTTTTGTAACGCCGTGTGACAAGGGGGGGGGGGGTCGAAAATCGTCAAAAATTGCGTGACGTCATTTATGGACGGCCCTAAGCACACAACTGCTTAGCTTCTGCCTAACTCGACACACGCTTGCATGTGGCCAGATGTGCCCTACCTCGTCAGATCTGGAAAGCTAAGCAGGTTTGAGCCCGGATATTGCTTTGATGTGACCGCAATGCACCAACATAGGTGTTATAGGCTATGGGAGCAGTAGAGGGCGGTGCAGCAAAGTCAATTGTGTTGATCTGCACTCACCACCACCATCCCACCCACCTTCCCCAACACCCATGGAGCATCGTGGTGAAGTATGGTCCATACTCTTAGGTTTTTTCGGTAAAGTCAAGTAGGTAAAAAAAATTATAATAAAAAATAATAATAAATGAAAATAACTCATTTAAATAACATTTAATTGAGGTATTTTAATTTATTATTTTCATTTATTTATTTTTATTATTTACCTACTAATAAATGAAAATAACTTATTTAAACAACATTTAATTGAGTTAGTTTCATTTATTATTATTTTATTTTATTATTATTATTTTTTACCTACGTAACTTTACCGAAAAAACCCAAGAGTATGAATCCTTGCAGTCACGAAAGCTTCAAATCTAGAATTAAAGTATGGGCCAATTAACTATAACTGCTGGCATGGCGTGAGTGTGGAACCCCTCATCCAGCAGTGGATTGAAACACAAATAACAGTGGCCATGCATGTACCGCACTGTTTTCCCAGCATTTTAAACAAAATTAGGGTGCGTCTTAAAATCCGGTAGGCGTGTGCGTGCTGCGTCTTATAATCCGATATGTATGTGTGGAGTTTGTCTTATAATCTGGCATGTGTATGTGTGTGATCCGTCTTATAATCCGGTATGTGTGTGTGTGGTTCGTCTTATAATCTGACATGTGTGGAGTGCATCTTATAATCCGGTAGGGGTGTGCTGCGTCTTATAATCCGGTGGATGTTCGTGTGTGGGTGTGAAACCAGATTGCGCTAAGAAGAATAAGTATAACCCGTAAAAACAAAGTTTTTCACTATAAATCCTTTATATGCGTGGCGGCTAGAGTCCTCTCGTCCTCTGGCTTGAGATGGCTGCCACCTATGGGTCAGATGATTGTCTGCCAGTATTAAGCAATTGGTAATTAAATATTTAATTAGTTTTCCCTAAACAGTGTAAAATTTTGGAAAAAAATTTTCACGGACATTAATTGTCTCGCACAACGAGTCTGTGTGCAAAATGTCAGCTCGATTGGATCACGGGAAGTGGGTTAAAAAACGACCGAAAGATTTGCACGGTCCTAAGCAAGCAAGCACGCGAACTTAATATAAAGGATTAAAAAAAAGGGGCCATTGGCCGAAACGTCTCCTATTACATACAGGATATGTATATATATTTTAAAGGCACACACAGTGTGTGTTTGCTATGGACGGAATGTTGTTGTGTTGTTGTTTCGTGTTGACATTGTTTAAAAAACGGGGGGTGGGGCTTGAAATAATGGGCGGGGCATGTTCCAATCAGGCCCCGCCCTTAACCCCGACCCTCCCACCCCAGGCTCCGCCCCCTCAATCAGGCCCCGCCGATAACTCCGCCCACTCCCGCCCTAAGCCCCGCCCCCTCTCGCCCTAAGCCCCGCCCCCTCCCACCCCAGGCTCCGCCCCCTCTCACCCCAGGCTCCGCCCCTCAATCAGGCCCCGCCCATAACTCCGCCCACTCCCGCACTCTCCGTCTTTAACCCCGCCCCCTCAATCAGGCCCCGCCCTTAACCCCGCCCACTCCCGCCCTAAGCCCCGCCCCTATCGCCCGAAGCCCCGCCCCCTCCCACCCCAGGCTCCGCCCCCTCGCCACGCTGCGATTTCGCCTCTTCGCATTGCCGTTGTTGGGACGCGGAGGCGAACGAAGGGGGAAAGATCGAGGTCGGTGTCTGTGTGTGTGTGTCTGTGTGTGTGTCGATACATACACATCTACACGCTCTGCACACATATACTTGCTACACACACGCGTACTACACCTGTACACACACACATACACACACGCGTTCACCCAGCAAGCGTACATACACTACAGTACACGCACATACTGCATTGTGCAGGAGGTACGCGTACGTATCGCATGTATTATACACACACACACGCGCGCGTTCTCACAGCAGTGGATTATTTATATGTGTGTGTGTGTAGCACATGCATACTATATACACATACAGTACTATATAGACAAAGACCCCCACGTGCAGCCTAAGTAGACTGTAGGGGCAAGTGCTGTTAGCGAGCACCTATGAAGGCCGGAACGGCACACGAGTGAGCTGGAGGGGTCAATGGGTCGCCAGCTCCACCAGACGCGGTCGCCTTTGTCTTTCCGGTACTGATTTTTGTTTGTTTGATGCTACACCGCCACCAGCGAATGGTTTAAGGCCGAGTCGACCTAGGGGAGGTCCAGGACCCGAGTGAAATCATTATGGTCAACTGAAGTTGGCCGTGAGTGGGAATCAAACTCGGGTTGCGAATCTTGCGTAATCCACTCCACTTACTGTGACACAACAAACATGGGCCTGTCAATATCGCACGGAGGTAGAGAGACACTTGGAACACGTAGACACAACACGTGTGTTAACACACGTGTGTCAACATTAACGCACGTGTGTTAAAACAACGTGTGTTAACACACGTGTGTTAAAACAACGTGTGTTAACACGTGTGTCAACATTAACGCACGTGCGTTAACACGTGTGCTGCTGATTATATGTGTGTCGTCAGCGCATGTGATGGGGATGGTTGTATTGTACACGTGTGTGTTGTGTGCTCTACTTTATTATGTTCGCGTGTGTTCAGCGTGACATCTGTGTGTTTTCTATGTATGCTATGTGTCCCAAGTTGTGTGTTCTATGTGTGTATGCGTATCCTCCTGTCTGTGTGTTGTACAGAATCAGAATATATATTTATACTGGAGGAATCCGATGAGCTATGAAGCTCTTTCACAGACGTCCAGTAAACAAACATAGGAACGTGTGTGTATATATGTCTTGTATATGTGTACTACTGTATATGTACAGTCTTTGCTATTGTATACAACAATGTTTCTATTCTGTGTTTGATGTGTTCTGTTTTTCTCAACCTTTGCGTTGTATTTGTTTCGCATGTGCCCGTGTTTTATTATATAATACGTACGTGTATGTGTATACGCACTAAGTGTGTTATACTTATGTCACATGGGCATCGTGTATTCATGCATTTCCCCCGAGCACAATGTTTTTTTTTGTAAAAACACATTTCTGTTGTGTCCATCAGCTCCACAACACCGGACGCGAATTCACGATTGGCCCGTCCGAAAAGTCACCTGAAAGTATTTGCTTTGAACCACCCACCCTCCTTTGGCAATTAACCGAACGACCTGGCGAAACTTGAGCCCTTTGCCCGTGTGGGTGCTACAAGATAAGAACATTTTTTGTTGTGTTGTGTTGTGTGTGCACCAAGTCGTGTCTTTGAATTGTCACTCTACCACGATTTGAACAGTTCGCGGACAATTTGCAACTTTTAAAAAGTTGCTGGACGTTGCTGTGGTCGGCTTGTGGAGTTTTTGGGGGTCTTCTTTTGGGGGCCTTGCTTCGCAGCGACCGTGATGACGAAAATATGAATTACTAAATTGTAGACGGTGCTAGGTTTTTTATTTAGTGTGTGTGTGAAAATAGCCCGTGTACAGGGCCCTACAAAATGGGGTTTTCCATACACAACTACTGCCCCAGAAAAATACTTGCAGTGCCTAGCGGGTGTTGAGTTGTTAACTCGCTGTACTCCTAACCTGGCCGCGTAGGTTCATCTCCCAACCACGGCTAACGTCGGTGGCGAATGTGATCCGAGCCCGGATCGTAGGGTCCGCCACCACCACCACCAACCCCGTATTTCTCTGATAATGTCTGCACTGTCCTTGAAGTTGAGTTAAGGACAATGCATACATTATCAGAGTTATGTTTTTTGTTTGCATTATGACTGCAGGTATTGTGATCTATGCAAACATGACTCCTCGTAAAAAATGTGTCAGTTTTGTTGCCAGATAAAAGGGTAAAAAAACAATTATCACTTTAAGATGTTTTCTTGTTCATGTTTTTGTTTTGTTTGTTTGTTGCGGTTGCACCCGATTCAAGAGCCGAATGGCTCACAGGGCTACACCTAATAAATGAACTTGAAATAATTGAACTTACACTGTGCGCAGCACGATGGGTTATGTCACCGACACTGGCCGTGTTTACCGAGTATCGAACTTTGACCCACAGGGTTTTCAGGTGGTGGCCGCCTACCCTCTCTGTGTTGGGATGACGCCTTGTCGGTTTCGGAGATTGGGGAGTGCGAAACAATTGCTTCAGAGAGGCAGGGACGACGACTTCAGTGGGAGAGAGAGAGAAACCAGGGTGACTTGGGTGTGAGTCAGCTTTGTGATACATAACTCTGCCCTGAATAAGTTGGAGGTCTACAGTATTTATCGACCATGGCATGAGGAATGTCGTGATCTACACACTAACATAGATTGAATAGATGTACATAGCATTCGTAGACTTACACAGAGATCCATAGAGTAGTAAATGACCCATCCTGAAACAAACTTAGGATCTTTAGATTAACATAGAGATCTATAAACTGGCATTGGAATCATAGCATCCATAGATTAAATATATTACGTAATAACCATTTGGCTTACAAAGCACCGATAGACAAACTTTTTTTTTTCTTCGTGACTTTACCAAAAGACCCAAAGAGTATAAACTTAGGACCCTTAGACTCGCATATAACCTATTCACTAACATAGACTCGAATATAGGCCATTGACGAACAGACTGATATTGAACCCATTAACTGACAATGGGACCCATTAACTGACATAGGGCCAATAGACTTACATAGAAACCCATACACTTACTTAGAAACCATTGAATAATATATTACCCATATACTTACATAAGAGCCATAGACTCGCATATAACCCACAGTCTAACATGTGACATATTGCCCTACTTAAGACTCAGACTCTCATAGGGCCCTGGAAAAATTACAAAGGACCCAAAGTGCGCACATAAGACTCGTACATGTACTGAGGCCCCATAGACTCACATGGGACCCATAAAACTCACATAGAACCCATAGACTCACATATGACTCATAGACTAACACAGCACCTGGCAGGGGTGAAGGAGACCGTGGGGACGACAGTGTGGCTTTATTGCTGCTGCAGCAGAGTGACTGACAGACTGACGGATTGAAAAAGTAATTTGTTCAGAACTGCTTTTTGTGTTGAGTTTGTTCTTCTCCTGCACCTCCGATTAGCACGGTTGGCTTCGTACGGTGCGAAAGAAGTTCAACATACATAGAGGAGAGGGCACGGGCGCACTTGAAAGGTTGTGACACGATGGGTTGGTGTTGGAGGGGAGACACTGCAACACTGTGCAGGGGCATGCTGCCACACCTGTATAGAAATGAACAATTTGTCAACGTTTATTTTTTAGTCTCTCAAGTTATGTACGTGTATAGGGTCGGAAGGTCAACATTGCAACGTAGGCTCACGTGCACCTAAAGTTGCACAACTTGGCTTACAGCGCTGCGTTTAAATTGGCCGAGTTTGTGCGGCGGGCGGTAATGCACACTTTTACTTTTAAATACACTCTGAAAAGCCGCCGAATTGGGAGTAGGGTAACAAAACAACAGTTCACGTTCCAATAAGGAATTTGGGTTTTTGCCGTCGAGTGCCAAGGGTTGGAGAAAATCTGGGTGCGGTAATTGGAAGAGTTCACACTTTCCATTTTTATTCTGACAAAGCAAAGTGTGCACGCTTCATTTCGCCGCTGTGGCCACACCTGGGGTTTTATTTTTTTGGGGGGAAAAACTCCCCTAAGCCCGAACAGGATCACTTGAGCTCCACTCACCTGGAGGTTGGGGTGGGGGGAGGTGTCGGTTTTTCTCCTCTGTCTGAGAGGTGCAAAGGTCATTTGAACGCTTCATTGTGCTGTGGGTTCAAGCTTCTTGGGCATGCTCAATGGATTTTATTTTTTTCCAGAAACAAAAACGATAGTGCTGTAATTCATCTTCCCCGTCGCTATGCCACACACACACACGCACCCACACCCGGTAAACACTCAACCTGTGTTTATGCACTGCATAAGACAGTTGTAAAGCTTGTGTTGTACGAGGGAACTACTGCAGCTGTGGCTAGTTTTATTATTTTGGATTAATATGTCAACGGGGGTGAGAGGTGGTGCAATGGTTAGCACACTGCGCGACAAGCCCAACGGCCCAAGTTGAATGTTCAGCCATGGCTAACATCGGTGGCGAGTGATATTCCAAATTGGTCCTGGGCTGTCCCTTTTGCAATCCGCAGTGACCAGCATAGTGAAGTAAGGTCAAACTACCCCCCATGACTGACCCTTTTCAGTGAATTAACAAAGCGTAAGAATACCTTGTAATCGGTGAATCGTCACATGTCTAGCCAATAGGTAGAATTTAATTGTGTTGGCAGATATCACACATCTCAGATCTCCTGCACAAAAGAGGCCTTTTGTGTCTCTGCGAGTTTCTCGCTGTTGAGATAATTTCTCATGGCAAAAATAGAGGCTCCGGAACTGAACTGACTAACCGGCACTAATACACGATTTTGGAACGATCCGAGCTTTGCAAAAGGTTAGCTGACAACACACCGCCCAGCGAGATAAGCGCTATAATTATGCACCTGTTTTACACATGCGCCGCCGAGCGGATTTATTAAAATAAAAAGTTTTCAACGTTATTATTAGGCGGTGCCAAAAACTTTAACAAGTGAATCTAGGAAATGTCCCCCCGCTGTGCCAGGCATCCATGCTGGCGAGTTCATTAAATAAGTAAGCCTTATCGCTCGCTGGCAGTGACCCAGTGTTGTAGTCCGTGGTGTGGTGCTCTAGATCCGGTTTCTCAAACGCCAGTTCTTGCGGCAAAATCGCGGGTACGTCTTTCCACATTCGCCAATCTGTTTGAAAAATTTCAAATTAAGTCGCTGCATCCTGCACGCACTTTGATGCTTGCTGAACAGTGAGGGTCCGTGATTTTGACCCTGTTCATTTCTTTTTTTATGAATTACCGGGGCATCCAGTGGCTGCATGTTTGCGTGGGTGACGCGATCCTGGTGCATACAACATATAACGAATTGAAAGAAAAAAACATTGGTAAATACGCATGTGATTTGTTGCATGTATATTATGAGCCTAATAATCAGTATCGATTTATCAGTCCATGCATCATGGCCACCCCAAAAGTAAACGACTCGCAGAATTGACATAAAGATCTCCAATTCACATCACCATCATTATGCGAGTGCGGAATGTAACGAATCCCATTTAGTCTTGAACAGAGAAAAATTGGTAAAACGTGGAAAGACATGCCTTGGCGTGTAAAGAGGACTGGAATTTTTCAGGAAAACCCACTCTATAGATTATGCCGCTCAGCCTGCGGGGAGGAACACTGTGGCGGTGATATGTCGTGTATAACGTGTCATGGATATGTCATGTATAACGTGCGTTTCAATGCATGCCATTCGTGTGTGTGTGTTTTGTTTTTTTCCCCCTGCAGTCTTGCTGTGCAGGTCTTTGGATGATGCCCCGGAGGGCTCGGAAAACGTGAGAAGCTTGTTTTTTTTTGCGGATGATAAATGAACCGCCGCTGATGATCCTTGGGGAGGGGGGGGAAGCATTCGATGTTCGAGCAGACTGATGGACTCTAGCAGCGACGTGCGTTTTCAGAAGTTACGTTTTGGATAGCTCCGGCATGGAAACAAGCTGGCTTACAAGCGGTGAGCTTCTCAATCTGTATTAATATCTGAAGGCGAAGATACGAGCTGAACATATCTGCTTTTGAACGTTGACACTCGCGCACACAAACAATAGGGTTGGAACATGAGCCTGAAAAGCTCGAGAGATGAAGCGCGCTTGAGACTCCTGCCCCCGAGGCTTCGAGGTGCCAGCCGACAACAGGACAGCAAGTAGGACTCGAACCTAATCTTTTTGTTCTCGCTCATCGAATGCCTGGGGTTTCTCCCTGCCCTGTGGCGTCTTCACACATGCAAGACAGAAGAAACGAAAAAAAAGACTTACTCAAACATTCCAAAACCGAACCCCTCCTTAAAAATGAGTCTTGAGACTCAATGAGGCCAGCCTTGGTCAACAAGGAAGATAAATAAATAACAAATAAGACCTGTCACGGACAGCTTTCTGCACACAGTTCACGCTGGGAGATGCAGCCCGCGGCTTGAGTTGAATTCAGAAAACTCCACCACCACCACCACGTACTCCGCACGTACGAACATGGAACGGACAGCGTTGTGGCTGATGCTGCTGCTGCTGGCGCTGGTCTCGTGCCGGCCGGACGCGGTCTCCTCGCACGTCCACGGCGCGTTCGTGTGCGAGCCCATCGGCCTGCGCCTCTGCCTGGAGCTGCCCTACAACATGACCTTCATGCCGAACCTCCTGGGACACTACGACCAGCAGACCGCCGCCGTCGCCATGGAGGTAATCGCGCCCGCGTGTACGGGCAGAGGCAGGCGCTTGAGATCTCGGCACACACTCGTGGCTCTGGGTACAGAGCGCAACGCTGCGTGTGGAGGGTGGCCAGCAAGTCGAGCATGGGCATGCGCCGTCATTTTTGTCAATGTACCGCTGGGTGAGGCTCCCCCACCCCCCCACAACACCTGTGTCGGTCGTGAGGGTTATTTAAACCATACTTTACCACGCTGGTCACTGCGGGTTAAGTGAAGGCGGCAGGAAGCATCGGAGATGTTTTAGTTTGTTGTCATTTCCCCGCACTTACGATTATCACGATTGGCTACGTACGGTGCGAAAGAAGTTCTGCATACATATATGTAGTCGCGTAGAAATCTAGGGCAAGACATTTATTTTTCTGCACTGTCCTCTGCTACATCATGGGACTTCCCTTTCTGGCAATAAAACAGGTGTTAAGATGTTAAAACACCTAACTGAAACCTTTTGCAAGGAATCTTGTCTGCATTAACCACATATACCTGTGGTGAACATGCAAATAAAAAGACATGCGCTGGTAGTATATGCATTGTCTTTGAAACAGAAAGGGTAAAACCCATTCTTATACTGTCCTCTGCTGCTTGCCACGTGACCTTAAGGCCCTATTGGCATCCCATGGTCGTCCATGCAAGCGCCATCCAGACTCATCGCTGCTTGGCTTCTGAGGTCTGGTGAGTTTGGGTACGTTTTTGGTTATTTGATGGTAGGCATCGATATGCACTCTGCTCGGAATTCTCACTTATACTTATTTTCCATCTGACATGATCGCAAGTGAATAATGCTGCAATGTATTTGACAACCGATAGACCTGAAAGATTCAGTCGCCGGATTGAATCGGACCTTATAATTAAAATGTGTTGTTGTACTTGTTTGAAGCGTTCATTAGATAGATGACCTTTATGGCCGACCTTTGTGGTGAAGTATGGTAAATCTAACCCCACGATTGACGTGCCCTGGCGAGGCCTTCTTACAGCAGTGAATTGTAGCCATTTCACAGAGTTGGTCTTTCCATGTCAATTACCCAGTATCTTAAAAACAAATTATCAAAAAAAAATTTACATTGTTGCTGGCTGATTTCTAGTAGCACATTCACACCTGAATCGCATGGAATGGATGCTAGCTGTGATGGGGACACAAGCCTTTTGACTTAAGTCGCTGCTGCAGAGGATATCTTGGATCGCCAAACTTGCTCGTGCCTTCGTATGGCAAGCGCCTGCGAGCGGGGAGGAGCATCAATCGCTGGTGTGACCATGGTTGAGAAAATATCTTACCTCTCTTACCCGTGCTCCTCTGTCAGAAATATCCTCGTGCGTTAAGAATTGTGTCGCTTGATCGGCATGTCTCGCTGTGGCTCAATAAGGGCAGAGGACTCCCTAAAGTGAGATTTTTTTTTTGACGAGCTCTGTTTTGGCTGCCGGTCTGACCAGTGGTGCTGCCGGGAGTGGCTTCGAAAGGGGGGGGGGAATGTGCAGTTAAGCCTCGTTCCTTTAATTGCTCTGGTTAATGGAGACTTTTCCTGGCTCAAAAAGGGTCCAGTGCTTGAGCCTTGGGAAAGAACACCAAGGCAAGCAGAACACTGCAAGGGATGCTCCATTTGCTATCCGAGCCACTCGCTTTGTTATCGTGGGTTTCTATAAATAGACTGCAAAGGTGTCACGTTGTGCCGGCTGGCGTGTGCAGTGTGTTGCCATATCAGGTGGCTTCAAGTGGATTTTATTGTTGCGCTGGGCTCGTTCAAATACAGTGGAACTCCTTTTGTCCGTTTACCTATTATCCGGATATTACTATTACCCGCACCCCCCAAGTGACCCTTGCAAAATCCTATTGTTTGCGAAAATGCTTTTGCCTGTTGTCAATGCTGATAAGAGTTAGTGACCCAGTCCATTCTCTTATACGAGCACTTGCTTGCACGAATAGTTTTCCACAAGCCCCACATTTATCCGGTTGTCTGCACGTATCCACGGCTATGAAGTGTCACCCGGAAGCAGTGGCTAAATTTTGTACATTATCTCCGAGCCTTTTGTTCAGATGAACAGAATTATTTGCACTGATAAGCAGAGATTACAGAATCTCTCCATATTGCCTCTCTTTACCCCTCCCCTCCACATCAAATCGCATGATAGAGATTTCTCTGTCCGTACATGCCTCTAGCATCCAACCGAACGGTAACCCTTGGTTGAGACCCTGAGCTGCCTACTGTCGTGCGCCGGCAAGGATTGCCACTCTTGATTTACAATCAACCGAGTTGTATGTATAACGGGAAGAAGATCTATCTCGCGTTTACTGCGAAGAGGAGAGAACTGCCTGTGAAATACGTGGTCGCGAGTGCACTGTGTTGTCAACCAATTTGCCAAAAAATGCCCACTCGACGTTCCGAGGAGACTTGCAGATTTCCCGAGGAAGCTACCTTGACGAGAGGACGATCGTGGGGGGGTTAAAAAAATCAGGACAGGTGGCAAAATCTAGCTCCAACCCTTTTGCCCTCGCCATGTGGGTCAGTCGACCTCGTGTTGACACTCACAAACGATGGCTTTGGGGCTTAGCCAGGGCTTGGCTTCGGAAGTGTCGCGGGGGTTGGGGGGGCCTCGGCCCAAATAAATTCCGGTAAAAAAAACGCCGTGGGGTCGGCGGGGTTAACAGCAGGCACTTCACCTGTCGCAGAGTCGCTCCAGTCAGCCCCCCAGATCCTGTGTTTTGTCTCCTTTCCCGGATAATGTTCCAGGGTCGCCTTTCATTGCCGTGGGTTTTTTTTATTATAAGGCCTGATTGTTGTGTGAAATTGTAGATTTGAAGTTTTCGTGACCGCAAGGGTCCATACTTTTTGGTTTTTTCGGTAAAGTCACGTAGGTAAAATAGAAAATGTATTTAATCACGACGTTTCGGAAGCAACAAAGCAACCGTCATCGGGTGTTGACTGCTCCAGCGAAATTACTGAGGCGTGCTGTCAAATGAGACCCGCGTAGTTAGTGGCTGTGTGCAACTACCTGAGTAATGCGAGTTCAAATCCTGATCGGGGTTGACTCGCCGCATATTCCATCCAGGGTCGATAAATGAATAACACTTTGGAGTAAAGTCAACACAGTTTGTCCTGTACGGCACTGTATGCGTGGGTATGTTTTTTTTTAAACTGGGTGTTAATTGCTTGTATCTTGAGCTGAACAGCCCCGGATAAGTTTGATGTATTGTGGGAAAGGCTCCGTTCGTGTCTGGGCTCGTGTCTGGGCGTGTTCACCACGATCTTGACTCGAGCATTGCAGCCCGTTTTTTTTATTTCCCCTTTGCTGCTTAGAGCCCTTAATGCACCACGGCCCTGGCAACTTCAGAAGGATGCAACGCGTCCCAGGGCTCTTAGGTTTGCCGTTCAGTGCCCACAACGAGCCAGTGAGAGCTTCTGAAATGCCCCGCGTGTTTCAGTATTCTTTCAAGTGGTGTTATCTTTCTTTTTATTCCTTGATCTTTCTAGTCAAACTTTACATTTTCAATAAACCTAACTGGGATCGAGGTCTGCCTCTGTATCGGTGTTTGATAGTTTTAGTTTTAACAGAGCTGTGAAGATTGGTTCGTGATGTCGATTAATCGGCTACTTTTCGTGGCCGATCACTCTCGGGGCATCATTATAAACGACGCCCGCCCCCCACATCCCGTTTCTTGAAGGCGAGAAACCCCCCTGCAAGCCACGCCCCCCATAATGGTGTTGATTGTCGATTTAAAGCTTTCGTGACTGCAGGGATTCATCTTCTTGGTTCTTTCGGTAAAGTCACGTAGAATGGAAATAATAAAATAATAAAAATAAAACATTATAAAATAATTCTCACGACGTTTTGGCCACAACGCAAGCAGCCGTCCTCAGGTGGAGAACAGGTCTGTCGGGAAGACAGTCTGAATTCAGACTTATTTAATAATGTTTTATTTTTATTATTTTATTATTTCAATTCTACGTGACTTTACCGAAAGAACCAAGAAGGTGTTGATTGTGTCACCGAGCCCCGCCCCTCACCTCCCGTACAGCAACACAGATCAGTTTACCGATTAATTGAGCCAATAATCGGTATACTGATCGGCTACTTAAATAATTGGATAGCGCAACTCAGGGTTTTTTTTCTCTTAGTATAACACAGAGATGTGTCTTGGTTTCTGGCGGTTACTACCTATGACGGAATAATTTCAGATTAAAACATTTTGGTTTTTGGGATTTTTAAGGATAATTTCCAGTTCGTTTACATCATGTAATAGTGTAATGTATCTCCATGCTACCAAAAATTGCGTCGCCAAATGCCACAAGACGCACACCACGTTTGGTGGTAAAAGTGACATAATATAAGTGACATAATTACCAGTGAGTTCATACTTTCCTACTGTTTTGGAACCAAATCAAAACTTTAATCTCCCGAAATTTTTCGCATCTTGGCCTGATTTCTGGACTCTTTGGAGTATTCCGGATATCGGGAATGCAACCAAACCGTCCATTGCATTGCAGGTTCGAGTGCGCGTGATTGAGTGCGAGCATGTGGAGTGGAGAGCGGTGGCGCAGTGATCAGCGCGCTGCGCTACGAACCCGGCGACCCGGGTTCGATTCCCGCTCACGGCCAACACCAGTGACAATTATTTAAACTGATCCTGGGCCTCCCCTAGGTTGGCACAGCCTCAAATGAGTACCTGGTGCGATGTGTAAACATCGCCACTGGTGAGTCAAAGGCAGCCGGCACCCCCTCGTGTGCCGTGCCGGCCTTCATAGGTGCGACTCGCGAACAGCACTTGCCCCACCAGTCTGTCAAGGCTATACGGGGGGGGTGGGGATCTTTGTCTTTGTTTTTCCACGTGTGTGTAAGTGCGTGCACATGTGTGTACGAGTTCTTGAACGTGTGTGTGGGTGCGTGCTCGTATGTGTGTGTGTTGAGTTCAGGGTGGAGGCAAAGGGGCCCTAGACTGCGTCCTTTTGTCCTGCTCTAGGGCAGTGAAACCGGCGGAGCGTG